TATCTGGCCTTCTTTCCAGCTCATGCTGAGTCTGGTTAATGGTCTGTAAATAAGCTGCTCGTTCATGTTATTAATAGTTCCACTGTAATGGGTAATCAGGGTTGTACATGCTCTGCACATGAGCATTACTCAGGAAGGAGGATCGCCAGGCCGTACCTAACACCTACTAAGAAATCCTAATCAATACCCTGAAAGTCATTCTTTGGTGATATCTGACTACAGGAAGAAGACGGGATGCTGTCTACGCTTGTATGTCCTCCTTCAGCTTCTCGCAATGTATTATGCCCTTCAGTGTATCGTTAACTTGTGCTTTCAATTAGGTGCTACAACCGTACGTTGTCCTCGAAATAGCCACTGCGTTTACTGCGTCTTCTTTCAATTACTATTAGGGTTGAGCCGTTAAGCATGATGATAGTAGTTAGTCGTTGCCATAGATACGGACTAGACTGTCACAGAAGCTAGCAGTATCGGTACACATGACGCTAAAGCGTAATTAGCCCTTCTTGAACCACTGTAAGAAGGATTACTAGTTGTTACCAACCCTTGAAATGATGACACGAGTCTTCATGAACAGAGAAATGTTATAACATGGCACCATAATACGTGTGTGCCGGGGAATCACATTGAAATTTGCATGGCCAAAATAAAACTAAACCACATGCCCCTTAGGCAGATTCATATATCTTACATGCGCGCAGCCCTAGTAGTCTTATCGAAAAAGTCCAGCGTCATAGCAGCTAGGAAACAAGGGATATCTTTCCTCTCCTCAACCCAGAACTTGATAAGGTGCTTGATCTCCATGGCGAAGAGGCTGTTGGGACCACCCGAGATCTTCATCGTACCGTTCTCTCCGTCGAAGATAATTGAATTCTCTTCGCCGTTGCCCATGCTTCCTGGGCCCCGGGAGTCGGATGGAGCGTCATGGTCACCATGTCTGTAAGCAGCTGATAGATGGAACATCGAAGTGACTCGGACACGACCGTTAGGAAGGAAGTCCAGTTTGTATCCCAGCAGGGATGCAACAGCTTCGCGGAATTCCGACGACTTCGCCGTCCAGATTTCCTTCAGACGCCGCATACGCTTTTCCTTGTCCGCGACTACTCGCTCCATGTCTTGGACTTCCAATTTCATACTTTCCAGAGTGCTTACTGGAACGACCTTTACACCCGAATGATCGCCACGTAACTGAGCAAGGAGATCCTGGTTCTCAGCCTTCAAGGTCCTGACAGTGGAGAGTTTGAGGTTTTCTGCCTCGGCAGTGGGGTTGTCACGCAGTTCGAGGATTCTGGTACGCGATCTAGCCTTGAGGGATTTGATCTGGGACTTGCTTGCCTCGAGCTCTTTGCGCAGGAGTGTCGCTGCTTGTTCGGATTTCGAAAAGGACTCCTGCAGGGTTCTATACTTGCGCGTCAAGACAGAAAGACGTTCGCTTTCTGCATCGCTCTCTGCTGGAGAGAGAGGTCGTTTGATTCCGCGCGGTTGAGACTCATCCTGCTGGGAAGGCTCGCTTTTAGCAAGCTCTTCATGGGCCTTTTCAAGCTCGGCCCTATACTCATCGACGAGCTTCTCGAGATTGGCGATTTGCTCGGACTTTTGCTGATCGAATTGATTTTGTTCCGGATTCATAGTCACCTCTTCCGTGTCAAAAGCCTTGAGTTGGGCACGCAAATAATCGACTTCTTTCACAGCGAGAGCCCGCTGCCGTTCGAGTCTTGCTTTCATACGGCTTTCTACCATAGCTCCACCCGCAACAGAACCGGCACTGCTCCGGAGTTTTTCAATCTCCTGTCGCAGGGTGGTCCGCTCTGTCTCCAAGTTCTTGATCGATTCGTCCTTCTCCAGGAACTGAGCCTCAACACTGCCTATCTTATCGACAAGAGAGGCTTTTTCAATGCGCTCTTGTAGCAAAGCCTTCACAACCGCTTCGGGAGAATCGAACTCGGCCGGCTGATCATTGTCTTGCAAGAGACTAGTCCAAGACCGTCGCTCGTCTTCCAACATCTGGATCTGGATTTGAGCAGTGCCCAGCTGTGACTCCACATCCTTCATCAACTGCAGCTGGTTTTCCAATGATCTCTTTTGCTCCTCCACAACTTCAACGTTCTTCTGTATTTTCCGTAGGTGTCGTAGTTCAGTGCTTTGCTCACGGTTTGTGGTTTCCAAATTTCTGATATGGCTGACTTGTTCGGAAAGTTCGCGCTTAAGAACTGACAGCGTTTCGCTATCTGTTCCCTCAGCTTTGAGCCGGAGGTTTTCCGTTTCCAAATCAGCGACCTCTGTTTCTCGTTGACGCAGCTTCTCTTGTGTAGTCTGCATATCACTCCGAACAGTCTGGAGGTCATTCTGCAGTTCCTCTATCGTCTTTTGTAAAGATGAGCGTATAGTATCGAGCTCGCTGATCTGATATTTATACTGTCTTTCCTGATCGAGCAATTGTGCCTTTGAGTCTTCCACCTCCTCCTGAAGTAACTGGTTTTGATCTTGAAGACTTCTGACCTTTCGCTCAAGGCCGGCTTTCTCATTAAGGGCATTGTCCTGGGTTTCTTTCAACTCTTTCGCTAGAGTCTCGCTCTTGTGGGTGGCCCGGTGGCTGTTACTCTCTGCAGCCTATGGGACAGAAACATGGTCAGTGGAATAGACGTGAGGTAGTGGCTGAAGAATTGAACAAACCTGAGCTTTTCGGAAGTCCGAATCTGCCTTGAGCTGCAAATCCCGTAGTTCCTTCTCATGACGCAGGACCATCAAATCCCTCTCTTGCTTGAAATTCTCTAGCTCATACTTTAAAGTATTCACCTGTACTAGCAGCTCCTCCTTCTCCGTGTCTAGAGAGGCCATTAGTCTTGAAGCACGCGCAGCCTGAGACACAGAAAACATTAACCTACCAGGCTTTGAGGGGTAAACTGAGCGGACCGATTGTTGCAAAGCGTCGGGTGCCGGTGGAAGCGACAAGGGAGATTCTGCGCGCATGGTGTCCCGCGAAGGACGTGAATTGATGCTTGAATTCATCTGAGGCGCATTAGCTTCCTTGAGCCAAACTGGCTGCATTTGACGACTTACGATGGATTGATCTGGCAATAGTAATTATCGTGCGACACGACTTTTCGGGATGAGTTCATCCGAAACGGTAAATTCCATATATGTATTCTGAATCGCCGCAGATTCCAGCCTTAGACTGAGCATAAGGGCGCAATCATCAGGCCCAGCGCCAGCAAGTGCCTCATTGTTTTTCGATAACAACAAGAAGAGCGATGACATCCCGGATAGGCATGTGGCTGAGTCAGCCATCTCACCGCCCGCGCAAGCTTTGATTCTTAAAGAGGACTAGCGTCGAAATTTTGAAATGGATTTCGAATTTTTGCGGGTTTCGACGAGACCGACGACTATTCCTCCCCACGCCCGTCGCCATTCTCCTCGTCTCTTTCCCCCTCTTCCGGATTCAGTTCAACTCCCTGGGTGGGTCTAATATTCACAATGGCTAAGGAAAGGACCGAGAAGAAGGACAAGCGCGAGAAGAAGGAGAAGCGCGCGGAGAAGGACGGCGTCTCCAAGACCAGCAAGAAGGAGAAGAAGGAGAAGAAGGACAAGGTCGCTCTCGCCGACGCCGTTGAGAAGGAGCTCACCACTAAGGTTCTCGATGGCCTTGACCAGGCTGCCACTGAGGCTCCTGTCAATGGCGCTGAGACCGAGCGCATGGACGTTGACAGCCGCCCCGTTGGCGCCGTTGTTCCTTTTGCCAGCCCTCTGGTCGAAGACAAGAATGCCAAGAAGGTCCTGAAGAGCGTCAAGAAGGGTAAGGATATATTTTATCTTTTGCATATATATCCCAGGAGTCCTGCCGCGTTCGCCTTGGGTCCCGACGAGATGGCGTGTGGATTCAATCGCTAGCCTCAGGTTTTGAGAGATTACCATTACCGCGTTTGGCATCGACTGCGCATCTATCTATCACTCATTAAACATTCGCTAACGTATTGACTTATCACAGCTGCCGTCAACAAGTGCCTGAAGCGCGGTGTCAAGGAGGTCGTCAAGGCTCTCCGCAAGTCGCCCATTCCCGCTGCCAACGCCAGCATCGGTGTCCCCAACGGTGTCGTCATTCTCGCCGCCGATATCTCGCCCATGGACGTTATCTCGCACATTCCTGTCCTGTGTGAGGACCACGGTATCCCCTACGTCTTCGTCACATCCCGAGCTGAGCTCGGCAACTCCGCCGCCACGAAACGCCCCACCAGTGTTGTGATGGTTGTGCCCAAGTCGGCTTCCAAGGGCAAGAAGAAGGACGGTGAGGATGATGGAGAGGACTTCACCGAGGTGTTCGAGGAATTGGCCAAGCTCGCCCAGAAGGAGGCCAAGAAGGTGAACCTGTGAAGTTTTCAGCTGGACTTCTGAATCCACCTTTTCCTTTGCTCTGTTGTTTCTTAATTATACGGCTTCTTTATGTGTCTTGTCACTTTGCTGCTATGGCTGTACAGTTTCACTTTGTTGTCTGACAAGGCAGTGCATGTCTTCGGGGTCTGGCCTTTAGGACGTGTTCATTGGGTTGATCTTTTATGATGTGTCCGTTGCAAATCCGGCGTTCTCACATGGTGTATGAAAAAAGGCAGGAAGTATACAATAAAAATCCCAATCTTGACCAGAGCCTTCGTAAGCTGTTCGTACAGAGCGCCAATGGGGACCATTCTTGCCTCCACTGTTAGGGGTGCGGAAAGAGAAAAAATTGACGGAAAGAGGGTAAGCAGAGGAGCCCGCATTTTAGAGGATTAACAATGTTTGAGACCATTTCTACTGGAAATTATTCATCTTTGCGTGGGAAGATATCGTCGCCTTGATGGATCATTCGACATGGAAGAAATGCCCAAGGCGGCTTAGCGTGTGCCTTAATTCGGGAGGAAAAGCAATACGGAGTCAATGGAACATGCAACCAACCACCTCAAGGAGTTCAACCTTCTATGACCAGCAATGAAAACGAGCTGGGGTAAAGCCAGATAGTTAGTGTAACAAACATGTCGTGGCTTACACGAAGCTCCTTCCGTCATCCCTATCGGTCTTTATTCTCCGTCTTTCTCCTCTGGAAGGCCTCATTGCTTCTCCTGGCCATCTTGACTCCCGGTCCCGGGTATGATACCTCCACGACCTTATTTCCATGGCACAAGAACACAAATGAAACAGAAGGAATCATCCCATCCACCTTGAGGCGGATATCTACCAAGTTGACAAGATGGGATTCCATTTACTTTACTGAAGCGGCCAGACGAGGCCATCTCTTGGAGCAAGAATGGGCATTCAGTTATGCGTTCTCCAAATTCATTAATCTATTGGCCAGTGGTAGGCGTCTTTCATACACCCCATTAGCCAATTCTCTGTGTTCTAAGATTCTTGATAGGCTTTACAAACATTGGGGCTATCCCCTATGAATTCAAGTATAGTGCACTTGGTATTGCCATTTCCCACGCAGCTCATGCCATCTCGGTGGTAGTTCTCTATCGTTTGGCATGCACTCTATTCCCTGGAGCGCAAGGACGCAAGCTAGCTTTTATCGCAGCATGCCTGCACATTATCTCGCCTGCTGGACTTTTCCTATCTGCTCCCTGCACGGAGAGCACGTATTCTCTCTTAAGCTTCACGGGCACTCTTCTCTTTGCTCAAAGTTTTGGTGCTCGCGGCGTCTCCACCAGCATCAAAGATAGCCTCCTAGTGCTTGCGGGTATCCTGTACGGCTTATCCACCGCTGTTCGTGGAAATGGTCTGCTCAATGGCATCGTTCTTTTCGAAGAAGCATGTCGAATCTTGCATTCGTTGACGCAGGGCTTCAGCTATGCCAAGTTTCGTCGCCTGGTTGCGGTCGGTCTTGGAGGTATCTGCACAGGGCTCGGGTTTGTGTTGCCGCAATATATAGCCTACCAGCACTTCTGTGCCACCCACAAAGACCCGTCAAGAGAATGGTGTCATCGAACTATACCCAGTATATACAGCTTTGTTCAAGACCATTACTGGTAGGTGCCTTATTTCGCCTTGGTCAATTTTCGCTGACGCATGTAGGGACAATGGCTTTCTTCGATATTGGACTCTTTCCAACGTGCCATTATTTGCACTGGCTAGTCCAATGTTGGTCATCTTGGTGTACTCTGCCATCTGGACGCTCAGGGTAGATTCTAGGCTGAGGGAAACACCCACGAATACAATGCAGCCAGGGTCCCCGACCGGCCAACTGACAGGTCGTCTAATGCGTAGCCTGGCAGCTCCTCAGATTACCCTTGCCGTCATGGTGTTTTTCTGCAATCATGTGCAGATCATCACACGATTGGCCTCTGGTTACCCAGTGTGGTATATATGGACAGCAACTTTGATCATGAACAGGTACACTGGTCCTTCAACTGCATCGAAGCGGCAGCTGGAGGAGAAGACCAATGACCGAAATAGTTATTGGCAGATAATTGTTCAGTACATGGTGATATACGCTGCTGTGCAGGGCGTGCTTTTTGCAGCGTTTCTTCCTCCGGCCTAGACCAGCACAGGCGACGACGTTGTATATGACTAATATAAGTATATAGAAACCTGTGGTCGGAGGCCGACTATATAACATCAATGTCGGCTCTCGACTACTTTCTGGACAAACTACCATAACCCCAACCTCCACTACAGCAGCATGTGCATGATGACAAGACGTTGAGCTACATTGACATTACGACACAGAAGAAACGACCAATGATCTGGTCAGTCTCTGATTGTTCATATCATCTAGATAGATACACTAATACAGAAAGGAAGGACGCAGTCCTTCCCAAAGAATAAGCCCATTCCTTCCAAACCCCCAAAAAACATTACACACGGGGAAGATCCAAAAATATAAAAGCGCTTTGCTTTTCATAACATCATCCATCAATGGCCCAAAAATCAAGCCCTCTGGTCCGACTGCAAAGCCTGGTACGGGTGCTGGTTATCGATGCCCTTCTGTCTGCCGGCATTGGTACCGTCAGGACCACTCTCCGCAGTCTTACGCTGGAAGCCACCCTGCGCCAAGCGACCGGGGTCATTCTCGCTACCGATATCAGTAGTCCAGCTAGCGTTCGGTGCATCATCAGGAATATCTCCTTCCTTCAGGTTGACACCCTTGGGCTTGCTGTCACTCAAGCTACCAGTCACATCGTGAACGTAAGACGGCGCAGCTCCAGCATTGTACTGGCTGCTGTAGCCGCTGCCACTAGCCTGAGCGGGCTGCTGCTGCGGCGGCTGCTGGGAGTAGCTAGCACCACCGCTTCTTCCTCCTCCAGAGGACTGTTGCTGCTGAGACAGCTTCTGAGAAGCAGGGTACTGGCCCTGGCCGATACCGAGTTCCTTCTGCGCAGAGGTGGGACCACCGACGTAGCCGGACTCGGGAAGGTGAGCGCCAGGGTAGTTGCCCTGTCCGCCTAGACCCTCGGGGTACCTGTCCTGGGTGTCGGCGTTGGAGTCGAGCTTAGTGGCAGCACTGGTGTCGGTGTTTCGGACAGTGGATTGTCCTGCGGAAACGCCCATGGGCTGAGCTCCGCGGTTCTGAGAGAAAGCGCCGCCCTGGGTGGCTGATTCGGCGGCCAAGGAGTCGTTGGTGATGGGGCCAGATGGCTCTTGGATAGGGTTGTTTCTGCGCTCAGGGTCGGAAGTGACCTTTGTTGAAGTCAGCTTTTATGCCACGATTTGTAACTTGGGCAGTGCTGAAGGAAATTACATACCTTGGTGCTTCTCTGGCCAGGGGGGATGGGCTGTCCTTGGAGATCCATGGTTATAATGGTTGCTGTATGAGATATAGGAGAAAAATAAAAAGAGTAGTGTTAAGAGGATTAGATTACTGGACTGGTATAGCTGATTGATTGATTGTTAGATAGAATGAATTGAACTCCCATTCCATCCAACAACCCATCTATATACTCTACGACGAGCGAGCCAAATGAAACGGATGGCGTCAACTTTCCCCGAGTCTGAGCGCTTGCTTGAGTTCATCCCAGCACATGATGTCATACTGACATTACGACGAGTCCACCGAATTCAACAGAGAACAAGCGAACAGGTACGTCAACGAGCAGTATCTGGTCTCCAGTTGTGGCGTTGTCAATGACCTAAACCATCAACAGAGAAGGGAGAGACAAGCAAGACTGTCAGGAATTCCAGGTCTTCCAGATCAGCGAACTGGGCTACTGGGCTGTTGTTTTCTGCAGGGTAACCCGGCCCCTCCCTCCTTCGCCCCTTCCCCTTTGTGCCGGATGTTTCCCTTGAGGGCCCAGACAACTTCGGTCGGATCCACCCACATGTCTGATTGCCATTTCCGGTAGAACTAATTAGGTATGAGTCCTTGCTTATGGTTCGTTGCTATGATGTTTTTGTTCTCTCTCCATTGCGTAGATATTGGCGATTTGGATGCTTTGCTGGCCTTCTGGTGGTATGGCTGGTATGACGTCATGGTGGTTGGGTGCATGAGGAATGCTCTCTCTATACTACTCATTTCTTGTTACAAAGGATATGTGTTCAATGCATGGCTATTGGAAGTGCATTATGAGATGCTTTTCGTTCTCTAGCTGCTACGGTCTTGACCGTGCCGTTTGACTGCAAGGTCCTAGGGTTTCTGTCCGCAAGCCGATTGGACCGGCTGTGTAGTATTGCTTAGCCTACTTCAAATGTCAGACTAGTAGTAGTCTACCAAAGTAAACTAGAATATGAAGAAGCTTTTATTCATTTAGTAGTAGCAACTACTTAGTTCAGATCAATGCCCAATGTAGCTGATCAATCAAGCACATGAAACAATTGTTGCTTCTTTTACTACTAGTTCCCGCGCGGGTAGATAATATATTTATAGCATACAAGTGGAAATGAACCAAGCTATCTCGAACAGCAATCTAGTATACTATTCACTATAAGAAAAATGATAGTGCAATACGACCATAGGGAGAATAGTAGTAAGATAAAATGGTTATAGGACATTCATTTTGGTTCATTAAATGCTCAAGTCATAATAGTACACATAAAAAATAGGCCATAGTCAATACGCCCTCCCCAACATTAACTCATAATATCCATTTTACCGGTAAAGAGCATCCCGGGGCAGACCTTCAAGGTTATCCTTGCCCTGGCGTCCAACGCCACTCATGGGTTGCGTGTTCTTGTGGTATTCCTCTCCAGATACCCGGACACTGCTGCTTGCAGTTGCGGGTTCTCTCAAGGCGCTGTTGTTCTCGCCCGAAACGGGTCCTTCGCGACCACCCGAACCGACGTTGACGGTTCTCTGGTCCATAGAGTTCCAGTCGCTAGCACGAGGGGGATCCTCGGGCAATGGCAGGTTGGACTGGGCCTTATCGATCTGGGCCTGCTTGTCGGTGTTTTCATCGATGATGGACTGGAGTATATTATTAGCATCCGTCAAGTCAAAAGAGATATTAGGTCAAGTGAGGAATTACCTTCATGGCGGAAACGTTAGAGTTCTTGGGGGTCTTGCCATCATGAGCATGGGAGGCATGGGACTCAGGCTTGCGGATGTCCTGGATGGTGGTGTGGAAAGTCTGTTCGGACATTTTGGATGAGGTTGTGTGTAGTAGATGAAGTGGTAGTTGAGGTGAAGTTTGTGGTTTGAGATGCGATAAATTGATCGTGAGGATGGATTGAGAGTTGATTGATTGTTAGAGTTATTCTGATGGGATCAATGTACCTTTTAATATGTTGTTGCAGTGGACGAGAACCGATGGGCGTGGCTGGTGACGTTGGCCGCGACGACGTCATACAAGCCGGCTACACCTTGGTTCGCCTTGCAACCAACCCAGCATCATTGACCCCTTCATCATTGGGGCTACAGTGTCCACTCAATTATGGGGACTATGAACGAATAAGACAAGTCATGACTGGAAATTGTTCTATTGGATGAGGGAATATCAGAGGTTGCCGGTGAAACAGCGTCCCCTGAAGCCCTTGGAGTTGTCTGATCGATGATGGCAACAATAACGACAGTTCTCCGCATAGCAGAATGCTGATACTGTGTACCTGGAATCTATCATTCCTTTTCATTCCTTTAACTTCTTGACCCATTTTTATTACATATTCATCTCTAAAGTCGCACCGGTGAAGGGACAGGAGTCGCTCTAAGCCAAGCCCCAGATACATGGGATCAGCACGCCTGTGATGCCATATCAGATCTGATACTGAAGACAGAACAATCCAGGGACATCATCATGCAGCCCAAAGCGGGGTCAATGCTCGTTGAGATGAGTAGACATGCTAAGCAGACAGCTTCCCTAGTCTAACGAATGACGCACCACTTAGGTGTCCAACGATTCTCGAGTGCTATTGATGCACAAATCTGCAAATGAGGCTTGAAATTGCTACACAGCACTGGGTTCAACACAGAGCACTGCTCCCCGATTATGATGCAAACACATCTCATCCGAGACTCAAGTCGTGCCTATACTCGTGAATACGTACCTCTGGTTGATACATGTTGTGATGTTGGGCTTGGACATTGGGCTAAGTCTGATCCAGTATAGTGAGTCTTCGGCATTTTACTCGGAGTCACGAACTTTTCATATCAGCATCAAGAACCATATAGATGTGATCTTAGGCTTGATCTCCGACTGTTTTGGAGAAGACAATACTATCAAGTGCGACTGTCAATTTGAGGTCGGACCGAAAGCGATGCTTGTCACAACGCGTAGGCTATTGCACCCCACAGACGTAGCATGAAACCACTGAACTTTGTGGCAGCTCCAAGCATCGTTAGCAGCGTCAAGCATATCAATGTTATCAACGTAAATGCTTGAGAACGGAACTATATCGAAGAGATCTTGTTCAGAGTCAGGGACAATCGGGGTCTCGATCGGGAACAGCGGCCTCCGACCGCCTTCCTAGGGAGGATGGCAGAAATTGAATGTCTCCCCGCTGATGCAGAAATGATTTCCCCAACACTCAAGCGATCAGATCGATGTTATTTCCTTAAAATCATTCTTTTCTTGCTCATATACCTTAGAATTGCTGCGCGCGTTGTAAGATGCCTAGAGATCCGTTAATTGGGCTGGTCGGAAAGGTCTGGGATTCTTTTACCCCTCATACGAGACGCCGCTGATCGAAGTGAGGGGCATGTAGCCATCCAGCGGAAAATCGACCACATTAAATAGTCTGACAGATGCTTCTTCCAAAGTCGGTAAGCTACTTAAGTTCTGCGCTTTGAATTGTGTCGGAGCACAAACTTATGGCATGTTTCACGTCCAGGAAATTTCCCGTATGTTCAATCCTATTGCCGTTATCGTCCTCCATCGAAAATCGATATCGCCCTTCGGACGCCGTAATGGACCGTTTATCAGAGCTGTTCTGACTGGCGAAACACAGTTTCACTACCATCGATCCTCAGCGCGCCATTGGCTACCTTCAGATAGAATGCGCCTGTCAACGATTCAATGTCTCCGATAAGTGCAAGCCGAACTACGGAGGATGTGTGGAGGGACGGCGCTCTGTTCCCATTGAACTTCTGGATGTCGCAGGTCTTGTACCAGGTGCACACCAAGGACGCGGTCTGGGTAACAAGTTCTTGGATGACCTGCGCCATGCCGATGCTTTAATCCACGTTGTGGACGTTAGTGGAACAACCGATGCGGAAGGTATGGACTATCAATATCTGGAAAAATACCGGAACGGCATCACTGATGTCGCACTCTACAAATACAGGCAAAGCTACACGAGGATATGATCCTTCACAGGATATTGAATGGCTGAGGTCGGAAATTGTACGCTGGGTTCTGGGAAACCTCATGCAGAAATGGTATGCTTGCGCGCCAGGAGCTACATAATCAGGGCTAATGCTGTGCAGGGGTTCCATCAAGAGGAGGCACATGGCAGTCAGTAAGTTTGGTCATAAACCAGCTAGAAATATCTTTCTGTGCTAATCAACATCAGAGGCTACGGCCGTGGATACCTTGCAAGCCCAGTTCTCCGGTTACGGAGGTACAAATGCGATTGTTGCCCGATGCCTGGATCGGATGGGGTTGAAAGAACCTCTTGAGGAGTGGTCCGATGAGACCGTCGAGAAGGTCGTTGAAGCCTTCATCGCAGAGAAGTTCCCGACAGTCTTCGCCTTGAACAAAATCGATCATCCGGATGCAGACAAGGTTGGTCATATATCTCAAGTCAACCATGTTGCTGTCGTTACTGACAAGTGGGCTCAGAACATTAGCAAAATCGCAAAGATGCAAGATCCTCAAACAATCGTACTCTGCTCCGCCATTTCAGAGGTTTTCCTTCGCAGGCTAGCAAAACAGGGATACATCAAGTACGTCGAAGGAAGCGAGTTCTTGGATACGAGGGAGGACCTTATCGAGATGGGTGATCCTGATGGAGGCGGCCTCAAAGAGATGGACGAGAAGCTCACACAGTACGAAATCACTATCTACGCCCTTTTTAGTAGGGCCATGCTAACATGCACATAGGCGCGTTGAGAACTTGAAAGACATGGTACTTTATCGTTTCGGGTCTACAGGAGTTGTCCAATGCCTTTCACGTGCTGCAGAACTGCTGGGGCTCGTGCCTGTCTTCCCCGTTCGCAACATCTCCACCTTCTCTTCTGGTGCCGGAACGGCTGTATTCCGCGATTGCGTTCTTGTTGGAAAGTGAGTGGCCTTGATATGAAACCTATTGCTCCAATTGGACCTTCTGACGCCGAGCAGGAATACCACTGTGGGCGACGTTGCTCGCAAGGTGATGGGTGACGTACCTATTTCCTACATTGAAGGAGTCGGTGGCACCCGTGTCTCAGAGGACGAAATAGTGGAAGTAGGAAAGCACGATGTACGATTTCCTGCCTAAATCAAACTGCTTGCGCCAAAGCTAACCTTTCTATTTTAGGTGCTGTCGTTCAAACCTGGTCGATAGATCCTGCTATTCAAGATTTTATGTACAGTCAACATGATAATGAAACACAAGTACTGAGATGATATAGCTCCAAGACTAGCATCTTCCAGTCCTACTTAAACCGCTCCTGAGCTTTTCCAATGACCAATATATGCCCTGGGCTTAATGACCCTTCTATCAGAGCGAAATCAGTTAGCCATTCAACTGAACTCCGCGAGATTTACAATGAATGTATAGGTTTGCTTGGGGTTCGCATTGGCACTTACATGGCCTCTCTCATCATTCATTCCAATAATCGGCTCTGGTGCCTTCGGATGCTCCTGCTTCGCCTTCTTTCCATGCTGACTACCTCCCTTTTCTGTTGCTCCCTGAGGCTTTGCGTCGTTACCCCCGCCCTCCTTTCTGTCCTGCATAACAGAAGCTGATGCATCTGTTGTTGGGTCTGTGGTATCATTTTTCTTTGCTCGGTTAACTGCGTTATCCTCCGCCCCAGTACCCTTCCAGTCTTTGCTCAGGCCGCTGTTCAGGCGTGCTTGCACGCTTTTCGGAGTATGAATCGCAGCCGGCTGCCAAATGGAGCGCAGAGGAAGCAGACACGGTGTTGGAGGCCGGGGTACAAGCAGATTATGGAGCTTTGAAGCTGAAGACTGAATGCGGGTGTTGGCAGGCATATTGGTGGTTGTAGTACTGAAGCAGCTGGTAGATCTTATGGTAAAAGTGGTTCTTATTGACGCAGCACTATGTCTTTCACGTAAAGCAATAATAATAAATTATCTGTTCGGGTGAAGTCAGAACATTCACGCAGTTTCAATTAATACTAGCTAAGGTCCGATCGAATTCGCCTGGAGAATCCGGCTAGACAGCTTTTGTATGACGTCTACATGCCGCAATGTACCCCAGTTGCGATCAACGGTCATGGATAGGGCTTAGGGCATGGGGGTAGCTCCCCGCCTTCTTATCGATAAGGACAAACAAACACCTGACCTGTACGTCGCAGACTGCACCATGCTCGCTTTATAGTGTTCGTACGCATTTACTACTGCAAAAGTAACGCCCCGTAACTGAAACTTAACAAGATGAAGCACGACTACTATCCAATCGAGACGCTTCCGTCGTGGATAAAGCTCAACGGTGTCTCCGTCAATGGTATCGCTTTCCGCAAATTGCAAGCAGATGATGGCACCGACAAGGGGTCTGCAATTGTTGCAACCGAGGTAAAAGCCAGTGGAAATGCAGCGAGCGACGCGATAGAGTCGGAGGTACTTCTACGAGTACCGTCTGACTTGGTCCTGTCATTTGATTTTGTTGAAGAGTATTCCAAATCGGATAGACAGCTCCGTGAGGTATTAGAAGCTGTCGGAGACTTTGGAAGAGTAGGTCTATTTCCTCGTTGTACTCCGATCTCGGCCGAACAGATACCGTGTTCATGGCTTCTTCAGGTAGAGACGGATGAGCTCGTGTTAATTCTATGCTGATCTGTACAGACAGCCAGAGGCGCCATATTAATCTTCCTTCTCGTGCAACTTACTCACTCTAGCCCGGACTATGCGCATGAGCGGCACCAGATTGGACTATCGAGCCCTTGGACCGAATATATGAAGTATATGCCGTCTTCTATACCTTTGCCTACATTCTACAGTGAAGAGGAGTTAGAGCTCTTGCGTGGGTCCTCGTTGAGGTTGGCTGTGCATGCGAAGATTGCCTCACTGGAGAAAGAATTCGAACACCTGCGTCAGAGCACAGAGGGCTTAGACTGGTGTGAAAA